TCCTGTGAGTTCACATGGTAACTACAGTCCGTCTTTGTCGTGTCTGGTCCTGTCAGTCTTTCTTTGCATCAGTTCGTGCCGAGCCAAAGCGTGTGTCGTTCTGGAATTCCCGAAATGGGGCCAGATCACAGCGAGCAAACGCTCGAGCCCACAAAGTGGATGATGACGCCAACGCTGCACAACTCAATGTCACAGACCGAATCATCACCATAGGTCAGGTTTCATTTTCTGAAGTTTTCTGCTGCCACCATCCGAACCATCGAGTATCTGCAGCCAGTGCTTTGATCAATGCTCGTTCTGCAAGTGCTATTTCAGAGGGATGCTGGGGATAGGGCCAGGCGACGTGACTCAGGTAGGATTCAGGCAGTGAGGGTCGCACCATGTGCCGTTTGTCAGTGCCAGTGAATTACATGTCTGATTGCTGTAGTTTGTACTTGATAGCAATTGTGGAACTCAAGCCACCTGCTTTGCATCTTTGTCCCGCTCTTGCAAAGGATGCTGTACGACGCTCGCACAGGACAGTGCATGGGACCGTGTGCACCGCCGATGACTGCCTTGCAACCAGCCATGCCGTTTGTGTCGCAAGCTCCCCTTCAGCTTGCCACTCCTTTTGCAGCTTTTTCCAGCAGTGCACCTGATGTGCGCAAGAAGAAGAAACGCACTACCTCCTCATCTTCTTCCTCCACCCCTTCCATGTCAACTAAGGAACTGCGCCGCAAATTGCGCCGCAAGGAGAAGCATTCTCGCAAGCATCAATCTCCTGCTCCTCACCATAAGCATCACCGCAAGCATGCTGACCGCAAGCACCGCGGACGCACCTCCAGCCCCAAGCGTCGCTCTGCCTCGCACCATGCCAAAGGTCGCAAGAGGTCAGGCCAGGTTTCTGCATCGCGGTCGCAGGCCCGACCCAACAGCCGGAAGCACCATGCACACGCCTCGTACCGTGAGCACCCCCAAGGTCGCCAGAGGTCAGGCCAGGTTTCTCATTCGCGGTCCAGGGCGCGACCCACCAGTCATGGACGGCGTACATCCAGGCACCACTCAAGGGTTCGCATGGACAGCCGTTCACCGCGTGTTCCCCGAGAGAACCGCGATCACTATCGAGTGCCTCGTCGCTCAGACCGGCGGCATCGCAACCGCAGTCACACCCCTCCCCCTGCTCACTTGGTCCTCACACCAGGACCCGGTGCCACCCTACCTCCTGCTCCGCCGGCACCACCTACGTTGCCACCTGCACAATTCGGCCCTGCCACCCCCTACCCTACATTTCAGGGGCATCCACCCCCAACACCACAGCCTGCACCCACAACACTGCCGTGTATGACCTGCCGCGTGCACCACCGCCAGCCACCTGCCGGAAGCCCAGGTGTCAGAAAACCAGGGGCACCCACATCAGCTGCAGGTCCGAAGGGAAGGCTACCATGCTGCCTGGCAGGTTAAAAGGCAAGAGGCAGCTGCAGCTGCCAATATTCCACATCGCATCAAAGCTGCAGCCGAGCTGCTCCCAGAAGAACAGCCCAAGCTCGACGCGGTGGACGTCGAGGAACAAGAGGAGCTCGCCCATAAGTTTGCCGCGGCCATCCCAGCCATGCCATCCAGCTTAGCCCGAGAACTGTCGCACATGTCGTTGGCGGCAGGAATCGGCAACTGCTCCCCCTGATTCTTCAGCTTGATGCCTGCAACACCTTTGAGGTTGCCGACTCCTATCAGTGCTATTTTGTCCATGTGGTGACACCCCCGGTGCAAACATTCGGCCAAACCGGAGCACGTGCTCCGGGTTATCGCTACAGTTATGTGTGGTGCCACGGCACCGACATCAATACTGCTGCACTCATCCTGAAGGAACTTCAGGTCCGACCAACCATGCCGGGAAGCGGAATCAACACAGGCTCTGAGATTGACTTCCCGGCCGTCGCATTTTACTGTCAGGCCTCGGTAGGGGAGTTTGATCTGCACTCGGTGCAGACGGCCGTGGCCAAAGAGCTTCGGATTTCAAAAGGCCTTCAGGGCATGTTGATCACGGGAGAGTGCCACACAGTCCAGCCACACCTCAAGGTGTCCTGGTCTGACACAGTTGAAGAATCTCGCCTGTGCTTCCGGCGAGGAGCCATCCGAACGAAGGATCGCTGGTCCTTCAATGCAGCTTTCACAAGAATCCGCGGCTTCGTGGTACCCCTCCCCTTTGTGAAGAATCACAATCGACAGCATGGTCAGCCGCATAAAGAGGGATCTGATTGCTTCGCGTCAGTCCGTGCTCTTTTCGCACTCGATGTTCGCCTCGCTGTTGCCTTCCATTTGTGTTGCTGCCTTTTTGCTTTGTCTAGTTGGCTCAACTGACTTAGGACGCTCCGTGGCTTTGTTTCACCCGTAGCTGCTTTTGCTTAGCTTTAGCTGCTCTTTAGCTTAGCTTTGCGCCATGGACCGCAGCCGCACTCCTCCTCCACGGTCGGGACTTCCTTCCCAGCCGTGCCAACATGGCCTACTACCTTTCCCACCTGTTCCTCCCCCTCCACCGAGGGGTCCATCGCTCCCTGTCTTCAGCACTGTCATGCCATTACATCTCACGCTGGGTTCCATGCCTGGACTCGCCAAAACCATCTTCCCCGGCCATTCCCTTACATCTTTCCCTCGCTCACCCGGTAGCCAGACCAAAGCACCTGCGCCGGAACATCCCTCTTCTTTTCCTACCTCAGGATTTCCATCATCCCCACGTGCACCAATCGCCTCAGGAGGGCACGGCACTGCCACCCCACAACCGCCCATGACCTTGCCTGTGCCCGAGGATTGGTTGCAGGACAACGACTACCTGGACACCCATCGCAGCATTGGCAACCTCAGTTGTCCTCGACATGTGGTGTCATCCTCCTGGGCACGAGAGAAAGGAATCGCGGGCATCCCTGTCACCAACCTGCACCCTGCCCATTTCCTCTACCAGGGGTGGAACAGCTATTGGCTCAGGTGGATCGCCGCCGGAAAAGAGGCCTACTTCATTGTTGCTCGCACCAAAGCCGAAATGGTGCTGGCCGGCGAACTCTTATCACAAATAAGAGCTCAGGGTTTGGACATTGATGCCGCTGCCACCAACCATGCTGTCCAGACTCAAACCTCACAGGCTAAGAACCTGGCTGTAAAAGCCTTGGGCCAGTTCCTTGTCGACCAGGTAAAGAGCAAGATACCTGTCGAAACACACTGTGAGTCTCAGGCCAGGATCCGTGAGCTCGAAGGCCAGATCGGGAGTCTGCAACAACAACTCCAAAAGCAGCAGCATTCAGCCGGTGCCCCTCCCGATAACAGCACCGGCCTTGGATCCCCCGGCCCCTCCACTCCTCTCCCTGCCCGTGGCAGCAATGCCGATCGCTCTCCCCTTGCACCGCCAGCAGAGTCATCCTCACCAAACTCCACGACAAAATCCACTGCTGCACCTGCACTCGCAGGCCAAAACCTGCGACAGTTACCCTTACAGTTCAGCCCTGGCTCTAACCTCGGCACTGCGGCCAAACCTGAGCCATCCTCCATCATGCAGCCACCACAGGACTCGCTTCTCATTTTCCAGCCAAATGCCATGATAAGGAACTAAAGGCCTGGATTAACTCCTTGACCTTGAATGACCGCAAAAAATCCGAGTTGCAGGATTGGTTGAAGCAGGTCGAAGACTGGGTCGAAGCCCAGGACACTGACGACTTCCTGGCCAACATTCGCAGAACCGCTGTCATTTGGGGAGTTCCTCCCGCCTCTGTCACCAAGTTACAAAAGCAACCTTTGGCAAAACTCATTGCAGTTGGCTCCTATATGGAGCGGTGACTCCTTTCGGCATCTCATCGACGAACACGGCGCTGTGTTCTGAGGCATACACAAGCCGCCGCCAAAGCCTTTAGATGCCTCGTCGGTGGCCTCGCCCCCGACATTTTACACCTCGATTTTTCCAGTTGCTCTGTAGCTCAATGGTGCGCTGCACGGATAGCTATACATGAAGCACATCGGACTCTACCCGACACCCATGTGTTGAGAGGCGTGTTCCGTGCCCTTGGCATCGTACCGGGATACCCTAGTTTCCAACAATTCAGTGCCGAGTCAGTGTTATACCTGCGCTTCTCCCCCGTGAAGAAGCATGCAAAACTCTTTCGCGTGGGAAGCACGGAAAAATCCGTGATGATCCGGGAACACAGCCGGTACCGTAAATATAAACAGGTGCTCGAGGACAAACTCGTATCGGCCGAACTTTCCATCCGGTTCTGGGCACATCACCGGAACTTCTGGAATTGGTGCATCATCCCGGTAACCGATGTTGTTTCCCACGATCTCCTCCGAGGGCGCGAGCAAGCGCTTATCCAGACATTGCAGCCCCCACTCAATTTTCCTTTCATTGCACAGTGGTTTTGCCCGCGCCGAGGCATCATTAAACCACCTGACCCCACCCATGCACAGAGGATCGGCCTGTCACGCCTGTGGCGAAAGCGCCGAAAAAAGCAGTTCTCCGCCACAGGCCGGGGGCTCCCTGCACCTCTTTATGCCATCTTCGACAAACCGTCCTTCTGCACAAAAGAGGCCACATGGATACTACTCACCCAGCTTGGCAGTAACACTGAATCCCATTTCATTGCTGCCACGTTTAAGAAGTAATGAGTTTAGCTACCCTGCACTATGTGCCCTCCATCGCATGGCAAAGCACCTGCCTGCGTACATGGCGCCCAATGCACTACGCGCCATCACCTCGGCTCTCAAGTTCCGAGGCTTCCTCCCTCCCAAGGGGCACCGACCTCTACGAGTCCCGTTCTTGTCTCATGACACCTACCACCAAGACCTAAGAACGTGCATGCGGGCTTACATTACGGAGTGCATCCATGCTATCACTCCCTTCCACGTGCCGAAGACAACCGTGGTCTTCCCTCGTCATCCACGCATCGCCCAGGCCTCGTTTAATCATCAGGATGCATTGAAGCAATGGGCAGCGCGCAAGGAGCCCACATGCAAGTGTGACATCATAAAAAAGTACGCACCCAAGGCCTCCACATTCTGTGGCCACGTGGCAGCCAGGGGCATCGAATTCACACATTCCTTGAGCTCTCTTGAAAAACAGATTGCCAGTGGCTCTGTCACTGACACCTTCTTTCCTGACAAAGCCCAGATCCGTACCCAATTCCTTGATGCATGGTCAAGCTGGTGTCGCACCAATGCGTTGCCAGGCCCGCCGCGAGGCCTTACTGAGGTCTTCGAACAGATCTGGGAAAAACACCTCACCCAGGTACAAGCTAGGTACCACCGGGAAGCAGTGGACAGCCTCAAATTCAAAACACGAGGCGCCATTTGGCACACCGAGGACCACCATCCCTGCACGGCAATCTGCTTTTGCCCCACTTTGTATCATCGCATGCTGGAGGGCACCTTTGGCAACCCACAGGTGTTTCAGGAAGTTCCTCGCATGTTCGAAGAACAAATCAAGAAGGTCCAAAAGGCGGCAAAACGCGACCTTCAACGTCGATATCCGTGGGCGTTTCGGCGCACACCCGTCATCCCACGAGCATATGCACTACCGAAGCGCAAAAAAGATTTTGCGTCGGGACGACCCATCGTCTCCTTTGTCGATGCCTTCATGCGACCATTGTTGGAGGCCACCTCTCGGCTTCTTCACAGGATATGCAGCCTTGCCTTTCCTCAGGCCTTTTCCAAGGGAGATGTCTACGAACTCTTAAATCAGGTTCGTGCATTCTTTCAATCCGGCACCACTGAAAAACTGCATTGTCGCAATCAGGACCTTGCCGGATTTTTCAACTCCATTTCCCAGTCTCAGTTCCTGCAAGCCTGGCGAATCACTCTGGAGTTTTACAGGCAGAGACATGGTGTCCAAGTGGACACTACTTTTTCAGTCAACCTTAAAGAGCAGGCGCAGCAGCTGCGAGTTTTCCGCGGCAAGCGACGCACCCGTGCCTCACGCGAGGTCACCATTTGGTGCGAAGACTTACCCACCATTATACGACACGCCCTCGCTCTTCAGCATTTCCAGGTCTCCTCCCGAGGCTTTCGCCAGTGCTTTGGATCCCCGATGGGATCACCTTTATCCCCAGCATTGTGCGGCATGGTCATCGCCGCGCAAGAGGAAATCTGGCGGCGCACGTTCAACATCAGCTGCTCCAACATGAATCGGTCTCTTCTCGGCCTACGTTACGTTGATAACAGGCTCTGGCTCTCCGAAAGCCGATTCGAGCAGCCTCCGGGCATACGCCTACTGTTGAATAACCATTTTTATGGTGGCTCCACAATCCTTGAGGAGGAACCAGCATACGAGTTCGTGGGGTTCACCCTCGATTTCGAGGAACGCCGAATACTTTACAGCAGGGCGTGCAAAACACACGACATTCCCAGCATACACTCCGCCGCTCCTCAACCCGTTCTTTTGAGCGGAGTGTTGGCCCGAGCTCATACTATCAAAAAGTGCTCCTACCCTCGGGCACAAGCCCTTATGGATCTCCGATATTTGTGGGATCTCGCGGAGCAACGAGGCCTACCCATTCATTCCTTCGACTTCAAAGCGAAGTTTTGGAAATTCGCCTGAACAGAGTGTTACCTCGAAGAATAAGACTCGGCCCGCCGCGTCTGTGCCAATAATCGTTGTCTTGCCAGCAGTTTAATCTCATGGGCGTCTTGCACAGGATTCGAGCTTGGCTTAAGGTAGCCCTTCAAATTTGCCCTCGTACTCAATGGATGAGCACACGCTTCCAGAGAGCCCCAATGCACGCCGGGAAGCCATCACTCGCGCTTTACTCGAGATTCTTGGTGGAGACGACTCAGCTGGTGAAGAAGACAACCCTCCATCCCGCGGCTCATCCACGCCGAGTGCCCTTCGGGATCATGCATTCCGCGACATGCTCGCAGACTTTATAGAGAAAACGACGCAGGACATCAACAACCTGCAACAACGAGTTCGAGAGCTTGAGCAACGTTTGCCACGTTGACTCATCATTCATCTTAATGCCTAGATGGGAAGAAAAAGAAAAAACAGGCATGCACTGCCGTATTCCGAGCCTTTTCTTACTGCAGACTGTTCATGTTAATGCCAGCTCGCTCGCACCGCAGCCAATTTTGGTACAGGGATTCCACAAGCATCATCACCATGCCAGATCGCTCACGATCTCCCGTGCCGCCTGCCAGCAATCCACAACATCAATGGCGTTGGGCCTGGCACACGGATGGCGAACACTGGTGGTGGCAGTGGTATGAAGTCACCAGGTTGTGGCTTCGCAGGCGAAAACTTGCTGATCGCCCTTTGATCATCAACGAGGACTCGTCACCAAGCCCCCCACGCAAGAGAAGTCATTCTCCCTGAACGCAGACAAACTGTGTCTGCATCTAACTAATCTTTCCCGGCCATCACGCCCGGGACACGCATTCAGCTTTGATCACAGCAAAACCAATGCTTTGCCTTTCAGCTTGTTTCATGCCTCATTTCTCAAACATGCTACGTGCTCGCAGCCATTTCCTTGCCAATATTCAGCTTGCTCAACATGAGCAACACTTCACAGCTGTACCTTAATTATGATGAACTCCCTGATGATGCAAGCTCATGGTCCTCAGCTTTCGACCCTCCCAAGGACCCCCCAAGACCGCGAAAGACAAGTCCGCGAAGTCCACCAAGAAAAAGAAGGGCAGCAAGAAGAAGACCAAGCGCAAAAAAGCACAGAAGCCCAGGAAGAAGAAAAAGAATTCTTTCCGCTCTGCCACTACGGATTCTGAAGCTGCAAGCGAGGCACACTCTAGTGCCACAATGGGCGATCCTATGTTATTTCATCGGCCCAGTACCTTTCGAAAGCGTGCATGTGCCAAGATGTTAGTTCGAGCCAACCTACGTTGTGCTTGCCATTTTATGTATGTTTCACAATGTCCGAATACACAACCCTCGGTTTGACTACGACCTTCGGGTTCAGTCCCTACACACACATGTTGTTATCACCTTTCACTCGACCAGATTGCACTTGCCCTGCTAAGCAGGGCGTGTGTGTGTGTGGAAACGGGGTGCGCAAGCATTTTCTTACTCCCGCACAGGGAGCGCAGACATTTT